CGTCATAGTTCCTTGACATCACCAGGACCTCCAGTTCTCCCTGCTTGTTTCCAAGGCTTTGTGCATTTGTATATAAGCACTTGAGATAACCTGTTGATCGCCCCTCATTCCCAGTATGAGGCAGGAGCCCTCCCCTCACAGACATTCCTGCCTGTGCTTCCTCCCGGTATCCCGCTTTCCCACTTACCTCAGGGCTTTGGTCTCCTTCCCCCGGTGAACCTAGTTTAAAGCCCTCCTCACTAGGTTAGCCAGCCTGCTCGCGAAGATGCTCTTCCCTCTCTTCGTTAAGTGGAGCCCGTCTCTGCCTAGCACTCCTTCTTGGAACACCATCCCATGGTCGAAGAATCCAAAGCCTTCTCTCCGACACCACCTGCGTAGCCATTCGTTGACTTCCACGATTCGACGCTCCCTACCTAGGCCTTTTCCTTCCACGGGGAGGATGGACGAGAACACCACTTGCGCCTCCAACTCCTTTATCCTTCTTCCTAGAGCCACATAGTCCGCAGTGATCCGCTCAAGGTCATTCTTGGCAGTATCATTGGTGCCCACGTGGAGAAGCAGGAAGGGGTAGCGATCCGAGGGCTTGATGAGTCTCGGCAGTCTCTCCGTCACATCGCGAATCTTAGCCCCCGGCAAGCAGCAGACTTCTCGGTTTTCCCGGTCAGGGCGGCAGATAGATGACTCAGTCCCCCGGAGGAGAGAGTCCCCGACCACCACCACCCGCCTTCTCCTCTTGGGAGTGGTGGTCGTGGAACTCCCAACCTCAGGACATCGCATCTCATGCCTTCTAACCAGCGGAGTCTCCTTCTGCTTTCTTGCCCCAGACATATCATCTGGTCCACTCTCCAAGACTAAGGGTAGCCCAGCTCTGTCTGGGCTACTGACTGTACTGAGAAAGAGCCCCTTGGCATCTTTCTGCCCCGGCATTTCATTAACTATCAGGGGTTCAAGCCTCAGCTATAGCTCACATTGGGAAGCAATGTGCCTCTAAGCCACTCTCTGTCTCCTCTGCTCCTGGGGCGGGGGCTGGGGGCCAAACTGGACCAAGTGAGGCCTGCTCCAGTTTACATTAGCTGGGATGGTCTCCTAGGGACCACTCTGCTGGATGGGGATGGACGGCGTGCACTGCACTCTGGCTTCTGTCACAGCCCTTCCAGCCCCCAGATGGGCCTGATACACCTCCAGTGCCAGGAGGAGTTGGCGTAAAGCTGGCTACACCGGCTGTACACCAGGCAAAGAATCCCCCATGCCAGCCCTTCAGGGCAGCTTGGGGGTCACACCAAGTGACCTTTAAGGGCCCTATGTTGCTTTTCACACCCTTGTTTTTGTTCTCTTCAGCCTTTCCCACAGCTGCTCTAGCAGGGCAGCAATGTTAGAAGCGCTCACACAGCCAGAGCATGGGTGTTTTTAATGGCTATAGGGCCAGGTTTCCCAAAGAGCTCAGGGCCAGACTTCCCAGGACTTAGCACCCACAGCTGGGGCTGGATTTTCCAAACAACTGGGCTCTCATTTAGGCCCCTAAATCAGAGCCAGATTCCCAAGCACTCAGCATGCCCGTTGCTTTCCTTACGATGCTCATGGCTGGATTTTCACAAGAGCTCAGCATCTAACTCACACCCAATGCGCTGAGTGCTTTTGAAAATCAGGCTCACGTCGCCTAACATCGCTCAGGGCCAGTCCAGGCAATAGGGAGGCAAAGCTGTTAGCAGCCTGTCTACACAAGCGCTATCCAGCTGTAAGCCCTAGTCCCCTGCAGGCTGCCATACGTGGGTCTCTCTTTGGTTGTTGAGTGAGTGGGCAGGTGCCCGGTGGTGGTGGTGGTGGCCTGCTATAAAGGAGGTCAGAGCAGTTGATCTTGTGGTCCCCTCTGGCTTTAAACTCTCTGGGTATGTCTACACTGCAATACAAGCCCTGCGGCACTGAGTCTCAGAGCTTGGGTCAATTGATAAGTGATATGGCTCATAATAAAGGAAAACACCAGCGCTGAGATGGTAACACCCCCCCTTTAGGCTGCAGCATTCATTGGTTAAGTGACAGGTTATTGGGGGGGCCCCCCCCCACAGGATTTGCCATTCTACCTCTGTGTCTATCAGTTCCAATAACCTGCTGTCAGCAGCGGCCGAGGCTGGGAAAAATAATTAAATAATCCCCACGGCCAGCTCTGCAGCGCGATGAAAGGAAAATGATTTCCTGATCCCTGCAATGATTAGCTTTCTCCACAGTGCATGAAATTTGATTCCCTGCACGTGTTGTCCTTGAGCACACGTTCACCTGAGGAGACGCCAACGCACCCTGTTTTCAGGCCTGCCACGCAGAACGGGCAGAGAGAGCCCAGGAGGCTCGTTCAGAAATGCGGGCAGCAGGAATATTTAAACTGCACCATACGGGACAGTATCAAAAGGACACACCCGGTAATGGTTGGGCCTGGGCTGCACAGGGGGAAGCTTGGAGGAGTGACTGAAGCACAAGACCCAACATCATGATTTTGGGGTTCTGGTCCCAGCTCTGCCACTGACTCGCTGCATGACCATAGGCAAGTCCCTGCTCCATTCTGTGCAGCAATTTCTCCATCTGTAGAATCAGGATAATGAGAACGACCTCACAGAAGGCTTAGTGCATCCAGGTTTGTAAAACAGGGCCAGACCGAGGCATTTGCCAATGGTGCAGCTGCATGCAGCCAGCTGTATTAGCGCCCACAAGCTTCCCAGTCTCCCCTTAGAGAGATGAACTTGGGGAGCAAACCCGGCTCGATTCCCTTCCAGAAGAAAGCAAACCAACCCCTTTCCTGATGAACCCCAACCTGCAGTAACCATGGCCTCCTCCCTGATCCAAAGACCATTGAAATCTGTAGAAAGGTGTCCTTTGCCATCAGTGAGCTGTGGATCAAGCCCACACAGTGCTAGACAGCCTGGTACATCTGTATGCAGCATTCCCCTGCTGAGCCCGCCCCTGCCAATGCTGGATGGCACAATGCTGTGGGCAGGGAGCTCTGAGCAGCAAGGGGTTTATTAAATGCCATCCGTGCAGGGTTGAAGAGACACTTCAGACAAATGCAGCTGTCAGGCCGCTTAATAAATAACATCCGCAGCTTTCAGGGGAAGGAGATTAAGGGCAGCACAGTGGTGACTTCACAGGCTTGTTTACAATCTGTGAGAAACTTAATCAAGAGATCTCGGGCCAGAAGGAGCAGGCTGTATGGGAGTGAGGGAATGAAGCCGACGGAATGACGCAGAACTGGGGACAGTGGAGATGGGCACCATATCTGGGCTGTACTGCATGGGAAGGGCACAGGCTGCAGGGTTAGGAATTTACCACATACCATGGGAAGCAAACTGTAGCCTGGTGCCAGGCTCTTCTGCCTCTAACAGGGGGAAGGAAATACAGACAGGGCCTGCTACTGGGGGCTTCTGTTTCCTAGGGGGGTAGAAACACATCCCTGGGCCTGGTACTACGTTCTCCTGCCACATAGGGGACACAGACATATCCCTGGACTTGTACTAGGTTCTCCTGCCATGTAGGGGACAGAGACACCCCCCGGGCCTGGTTCAGGGATCCTCAAGAAGGTGAAAAGGAGTACTTGTGCAGTGGGAGCTAACTGTTTAATATTATAAAAAGAAAAGGAGGACTTGTGGCACCTTAAAGACTAACAAATTTATTTGAGCAGAAGCTTTCGTGAGCCACAGTGAAAAATGTGTCCATTTTATAGTGTAAAATGTTTCCATTTTACAGTGGAAAATACAGTGGGGAGATTTTATATACACAGAGAACATGAAACAATGGGTGTTACCATACACACTGTAACAAGAGTGATCAGGTAAGGTGAGCTACCCATTGTTTTATGTTCTCTATGTATATAAATCTCCCCACTGTATTTTCCACTGAATGCGTCCGATTAAGTGAGCTGTAGCTCACAAAAGCTTATGCTCAAATAAATTGGTTAGTCTCTAAGGTGCCACAAGTACTCCTTTTCTTTTTGCGGATACAGACTAACACGGCTGCTACTCTGAAATCTGTCAAGAAGGTGACAGACTCAAGGCCCATGAAAGGGAGACAACTGCGTACTCAGCTCTGCCCTCGCTCCTATTCCATCCAGGTCACACGGGGAGAGGTGCTGACCAGCAGGGGTGGGCAGAACAAGTGGGGAGCAAATAGGCACCATGGCTTCTTCTGAGCATCGAGTGTGGCTGCTTGCTAAGGGGGGGTGCAGGTGCCGGCAGCTTGATGCAAGCGAAGGGATGTAATCTGTTCGCAGCGGCGGGCACTGCCGAGGGGCAGGGAGCTGGGCCAAGGAGGAAAGAAAGCCATCTCTAGAACGGGCTGCTGGGTCTCTTCTACACTTAGGTTAGAGAACAGACGGCTGGATGGAGGAGCCAGGTGATTACTTTAGGGTCTCAGCCTTGATTTTTTTTTTTAAAAGGACGTTTCTAGCTGTTGTAGTTGCAGAGAAAGGCGTAAATGAGTGAAATGAGGAAGCGGTGTGTGGCTGAGTTTGCAGAAAGCCTGAGACAATTGCTGTGAGGAGAGAGAACTGCTGTGCATGTGAACAAAGCCTGAGCCCTGCCAAAGAGCCTGAGCCAATTGCTACTATTTCTGGGCAAGGAGAAGGGGGCCCCATGCTTTAACAAAGCGCAGGCCTTAAGCAGAAGAGCTGCTTCCTCCCCCACTTTTTGCTCTGGTCTTTAATGTGTATTGAGATGTAAAAATAATAATGCTTTGTTCTTTAACAGCACTTTCTACCCACGGCGCTCCCCATAAAGGAATGAATGTTGGGGAGGTATTACCCCTGTTTCACAGATGGGGAAACTGAGGCACAGAGTGGCCAGGGACTCGCTCAAGGTCACACACACTATTTGTGCTGCTTTTCTGGGCCCATTTGAGACAGTTAAAGGTCAAGTGGAGAGAAATCCTGACCCTGCACCAACTATCTGTGCCTGGAGGGAATCCTGGCCAAATCTGGACTGGTTTCCCCTGCTGGCACAATGAACCTGCCGGCCTCTCACCTTCATTCTTCTTGTTGTTGAGCTGGTTGAACTGCTCTGTGAACTCGGCTAGTGACTCCTCGATGGTCTCTGTCCGGGGAACGGAGAGGGAAAACCGCCGCTTGAAGTTTTTCATCTTGTTCATTGTATCCTGTGCTGCGGCGAGACGGCAGGGCCCTGGAAGGAAGGGGAAAGCAAGGAGAGTAGGCTGAAGGCCTTGGATTGCACGCAGGACCCGCCGCTCGGGGCTGCAGCCAGACGCACAGGGCCTGATTTGCAGAGGTGTCGGGCACCTGCAGCACTGACTGACTGGACTTGAGAGCACTCGGTGAAAATCAGGCCCGAGATACAGTCTGTGCTCCTGATGAGTTTACCAACAGGAGGCCTGATCCAGGGCTCACTGAAATCACTAGGAGCCTTTCTCTTGAACTCAGCAGGCCTTGGGTCAGACCCAAACCACTGATCCTATCACGAGATCCTCGCGGACGAACCCATGTGCCCATGCACAGCCCGACTGACTTCAGTGGGACTTGGCCTGGCTGCAGGGGTCTGTCCGGACGGCTCAGCTTGCAGGATCGGGGCCTAAGCGTGAATCCTCAATGCTAAGCCAAAGGAATGATTGCCTCTGCCTCCCTTCTTGGTGCTGCCTCACGGCAGTGAAGAGCAAATGCCTAAAATACTGACCCCCTCTTGCGCGCAGCACTGTCAGCTCGGCTGAGATGTGCTGCAAAGCCACTTGTGACTGAGCAGGGTAATTAGGATGGATTGTGGCACCCGTCTAATAACGTGAGACGAAGCAGCAGAATTCCACAGGGAATAACCACCACAGGCCAGTTCTACCTGTCAGCCTCAGCAGCTGCAGAACAGAATCAGGCCGGATCTGAAGGGTCTGGGAGTAGCTGGGGGACATGACCCGGACCCAGTGGATCTACGTTTGCCGGGTTTATTCCCGCGGAGCTGTACAGGGAGTGCACTGGACAAAGCAGGCAATAGGTGCTAGATGATAGCCTGTTCTCCTCCCCTCGCCCCCTGGCATGGCAGCAGCGTGCCGACCTCAGTCACACTCTTTCCCCCTTAGCAAGTGAACGAGTCAGCGAAGGTATTGTTTGCACTACGAACACCCCTTCATTAGGGAACAGCCTGACACCTAGCAATGCTCTCCACTGTAGCCCATCATCAAACAGTTGTCAGACTGTAACAACTCTCGATTGACGCCAACCTCGACTGAATTCGAACCTGTGACCTAGCGATGAAAGGCTCCAGACTCTTTCCTGCATCTAACAAGCGCATTCAGGACTTCGCAAACCCTCCTACCATGACGTGCTCCTAAGCAGGGACTGTCAGGAGTGTGATCCCTTTGAGACAAGCACAGGCTCTGGAATAGGACCATGTTCGTTTTCATTCACAGCCTGAGGTGCATTTGAACCCAAAACTCAAGAGGAGAAGCCTGTCCCCATTGATGTCAATGGGAGTTTTACCATTAGCTTCAGTGGGGACACAATTTTGCCCCATGTATTCTGGGGTTGGGCAGGAGCCTGCCCCAGCTCCCTGTGTGTACAATTAAAGCAGCCTTGGGGTTGCTCTTTTATATGTTCAGCTTCCCTGTGGGCCCTGGGAAGCAAATTGCCATAGATGCAGGGCACTCCAGCTACGCCCCTTGTGTGTCCTCTGTGCTGGGAGGAGGCCAGCACAGAGCCCTGAGGCCAGTGTGAAACCAGCCAGGGAGGCCCCAGTACACAGGATATTCTCAGGGTATGCCTTCCATCTGCTTCAAGGCCCCTTTCTGTTGTGAGAGCAGCATATGGGGCCTTACTGTAAGTCAGGGAACCAGGCCCCTTGTGTTTTCATTAGTTAACTGTGGTCTAACAGGCCCCCGATGGTTGCCTTTTCATTGTTCATTATCATGTGTGCCCAGGGACTGTGTTCTAGACACCTAAATACAGAAATATCGAAATAAATACGTAGTCTCGCTCTGGCCTGCAACATGCTTGGACTCCCAGTCCTGGCTGGAAAGGGTGAGGCTCTGGTGTGGGGGAGAAAAGGAAGGAAAGAAAGACTGAGCATATAAAGAGAAAGAAGATCTAACTCCCACAGAGAAGAAAAGGAAAATCCTCTAAGCTTCCAGGCCGGTGTCTCTCCAGTTTCTATACTCTGCCTTTGCCAAAGAGACTTTCTGGGGCACCAGCGAACTCCCAAAGGGAGACAGGACAGAGGTTCTGACTGGGAGGAGACCCCTGAGATCGAGTAGAAGAAGTGAGGTGCTGAGAGCTCACCGTTCATTTACAGTCTCTTGACTAATTCAAATCCTGTACGGCCATGGAAATCCTCTTAGCCAGAGATCTGATTAAAGAATAAAACCCTTAAATGAGGAAAACCCCCAAGGGACAAAGAGCGAAGTTCATTGTTTCTCTGGCTGGCTAAATGAACGCGTGCAGGGCACGGCTGCAACATTCTTAATTCCCAGTGCTGACAAGCAACTGCACTGGGTGCTGCAGCTTCCGTCCCTCAGCAATGCAGACAGGGCCCCAGCTCAGCAATGCAGACAGGGCCCCAGCTCAGCAATGCAGACAGGGCCTGGCTGAGGAGCCGCTCACATTCTGCCCTTGGTGTTTGAAAACAGATGGGATGCATTCTGGTTACAGTAATTGTCTGGGGTGATAGTTTTAGGAAAAGGGTAACGCTCCTGAAACTGACAGGACAACAGCTGTGCCCTAAGCTAAACCTCATAAAGCTAAACCCCTGCACAGTTCTGCCAATGCCCCTTATTTCTGACCTGCTGCCCCCCGCCCTGCCATTTCTGTCCTGGACTCCCCCCACAGCTCTGCCAAAGCCCCTCAATCCTGGACAGCCCCCAGCTATTCCAGTCCCAGGTTGCCCACCCACAGAGATCAGCTGATGCCCTTCAATCCTGACCCATAGCACCTCCCACCCCCCCACTATTCCAGTCCTGGGTTCTCCCCAGACAGAAATCAGCTGATGCCTTTCAGTGGCAACCTGCACCTCCCTATTAATCCAGCACTGCCACCCCCACCCCACTCTGCCAGTCCTCCTGTGCAGCCCCTCTACTCTTCCAGCCCTGAGCAGGTACTTTGCTTTACTATGGTCCAGCTGCAGCATGGTCCATGAAAGCGATGGAGCGATGAGGTGTGCTGGCAGGAGGGGGAAGGCTGCTGCCCAATCAATGAACCCTTCACCATAATGACCGGACAGAATCCCACTGACCCGGAACAGCCTGCCTCCTGCCTCCAGCCAGAGCTGGCGGTGCCCACTCCGCCCACCCTCCAACTGCGAGAGAAGCTATTTTTTCTTTTCTTTTTTTGCACAGCAGCGGAGTAAACGTAGCGGCTGTTGTTTAACAAGAAGGGGGGAAATAATCAATGGCTCAGCAGCACTCGGCAGCTACCCCCTGCTGGCCACAAGGCACTGGAAGGCAAAGCCACTGATCGGGCTCCCTCCCTGTTTCCCAGTGGCTATTTCACTCTGACCCTCACGGCCATGTGCCCTAGCAGGGGGCGGGACTGTAGCAGCTCTGGGACTGACTGCCTCAGCTCTGTGTCTTTCTTGCCAGCTGTCAGTCCACGGGATGGGGGAGAGATGCAGGGAAAGCCACATCAGGGTCCTGCTACCTTAGCACCTCTCTCTATATCACACCCACACTGCCCTAGTAGGCTGTGGGACAAGAGGCTGAAGTCAGATCCTCCATGTGCTTTGTCTCTGATTGCCTTGGGCCTTGTCTCCTGGCCCTGATGTTGATTGGAAGGGTGGTGGCTGTGCTGAGGGAATGTGGGGGCCTGAAAGGGACCCCCCCCAATGATGGGGAAGGAGGAATATCTTGGGCTCAGATGCACTGCCCCTCCACCAGGCCCTTGTACCTGGCAGGGGACTGCCATTCAGGAGCACTGCATTCCTTTAAAGTCACTCATCCTGCAGCACAGAAGGAATATGAAAGGGCATATCAGCCGCTGGCTCCCAGTTCACTGAATGCTACTTCAGGGGGTTCTGCCCCACACCTCAACCCCGTCTGGATCTTCAAAGAGGGAAGGGGTCTGCTGTGTTGCTGTCTGCTGGTAGCTCATTCCCTCCCCGGCCGCCCCTGTGATATCAGCACAAACAAACGGTGATCACATTCCAGACTGATGGGATCAGACACCACATCCAGGGAGCTAATGCATTGTGTCACTGTGGCAACCAGCACACTTGGGTTGAAATGCTTGCATCTGAAACCTTAACAGATCATCTGCAGGGTCATCAGCCGCTGTCGCACCAGTGCCCACGGATCCCGGACCCAGCCTCCCAACGCTGATGCAATCTCTCACATTCAGCGCCTGGGAACCCCGGGAATTAGCCTTAGCTAAGGCTGCACTCACCCAGATTTCCTGCAAACCCACTTCTCCGCACATCCCCCAGCCTAGCAAACCTCTCCATCTACAGACAAAAGGCCGACCACAGCACGAGCACATTTGGGATCACAGCAGACAACTGGGTGGCTTGGGGGGTTGGGAACAGGGGAGGCAGGGGGCGTCCTCTTAATCCCACTATTTAATAAGCCCCGGCAGAGTGGTGACCAATATTTACTATCCTCTGAAGGCCTGAGTGATGAATCAGGCTGAGATCTCGCTCCATCTCGCAAGCTAAGCAAGATCTAACCTGAGCACATTAGACAGTGCCATTCGTGTCACGTGCATCAATGGACCTAAATGGATCCGATGTATCTCACTCCATCTCTGTACACTCACTCCTGCTGTTAAAGCAGCACTGGGGGAAGCTACCAGGCTTTTGTGCCATGTGCCCATGCTGGGCTGCATCGACCGGGGCTCTAGTCGACAGACAGCGGATGGGAGAACTCTTGGGAAAATCCATCCCTGCATCCATGCCGGAATAGGAGGTGTTCTCTCCAAAGTAATGTTCAGCCACACCCCAGCAGGAGAAGCGGTCTTTCAACTGAGGCAGCAAGCAGGGTTCCGGACCATGTGATGGCCTGGCACTCTTTGAAAGACTAAGGGTATGTTTCAGAGGAACAGCCGTGTTAGTCTGTATTCGCAAAAAGAAAAGGAGTACTTGTGGCACCTTAGAGACTAACCAATTTATTTGAGCATGAGCTTTCGTGAGCTACAGCTCACTTCTGGCTCATGTAAACATACTCGTGCTAGCTCTGACCAAGTTAGTGCACTAAAAAC